TTTCAGTAATCGAAAGAAAATAGTTTTGGCTATGTTTTCTTATGCAAAGTCGTTTTCAAAAAATATTCGGAAGATCGGTTTTCTACGAGGTCTTTAGAAAACCAGTTTGGATCTCCGGATACCGAGATAACAATCTGCGCGGGAGACAACAGCCGGTATACGATGACGTTTACTGAGGCAGTATCGAAATGTGATGCGTTTCTAAAATAGAATGAAAGTCATAACCTCCACACTCAGAAAAGAACACACATTCAATTTTTTAGTATCGTCCGCCATATTTGACCTCTACACGTCGTTTCTGCTGTATTTTTCTCATTGGTCACATCATGTGATTTTCCTTTCCTCACTATTCGCGTTTTTTGGATCATGTTTCGATATTCAATGGCATCGACTAATATAATTTATTTTTCGCTTTCCCTTTTTTACTTACCACCCCAAAATGAGGGAAAAAAATGTTGTGTAATGGAGGTTTCTAGTAAGTAGGTTCTCTCTCAGTGCAGGGACATTGCAGTACCGTCTTCAACATCTCATTTTGAATAGAGGACTTTGACCTTCGTGTCTGTGGTGGTTAAATCACAATCTAATTAGTTACGAGTGACATCTAGAAGAATCTTTCAGCTTGGCTAGTATTTGGAGCTTCCAGAAAACGGGAATTTGGTCACCGTAGCAGTCGAATTCTGCTGAAACGGGCACAGATTCTGAAAGAGGACACTTTCGGCTATCGTATTATGTGTCTTTTCAAAACTCGAAAATGAGCACTTTTGACAGGGGGGCCTTTAAGTTCTAATCAGGTGACAGATGCTTAAATTTTATCATTTTTAGCTGTCCGATGCCTCTTGATACAGATTCTATTAATATTATAACCGAGATCCTTAATTATATTCTAAGTGCTTATAAATGGCTGAAAATGTGCACTTATTTTCACTGACATACTATAAACTAAGCTATTTTAAGAGTGAATCCCTGAGAAAATCGGACGATTGTGGTAGAAGGTTGGCAGTTGACTATCTCCGATTTGGCTGATTGTTTTATATGTTGTAGAGGACAGTGAGTTGTGCCTCCAAACAAATTTTCACCTCGATCGGATAAGGTATTGAAGCGTAATAGTCGAAACAAAAATTACTTTTTTCAATGGTAACTTTCTGCTTAGTTTTTTTCATCTTTTTGCAAAAATTGAGGTTTGCATTTCTACTCTAGGGAATTTCGACTTCAGGTTTTCTAGGTATACTTAACAGTTAATCTGCTATCAAATACAAAAATTCAGAATTTTTCATCGACTAGGCGAACCGCACGGTCCAATTCTAGAAGAGGCATATATAGCATTTTCCTCCAAAAGTCAACGAGATGTCAACTCGTTCACTGGGGCAACAATGAAACTATCAGAAGTTTTTACCACAGGTAGATCTTTTCATACGTATTGAGAGGAGCCCTTAAAGGTCAGAAAAAGAGAAAATTTCACTTTTCTACCGCATTTTAGAACTTGATGGCACTGTGATATAAAAAATTGTTTTTTTCTATATTATTTTTATGGCTTAAATGCTCTTAAGCGAACTTTTTGATAACAGCCATGCGCATCCTCCGACTTTAAGCATCATGGTATGTCGTGAGGACTTTGTTTTAACAGCATGAAGGCGAAAACATGTAGAAGGTATATGGTTGCGAACATCTACAAATCTTTTCCTCTTTCTTCTCAAAATAAATGCCCTAGTCACGTTTATTATTTCTGTTCACCAGTGATGCACAAGTTCTTTTAGATAGGAAGAAGGTAAAATTTTAATTAACGGATTTCTTGATGAAAATGAAGAACTGCATCTTCTTTAACTTTTCGTTTTGAAAAATAATCAGATGAATCACCAGTTCAAGAATAGAGAGAATAATGGTAGTCAGGGAAAAACTATTCACGCATACGATTAGCCGATTTGAATCTGTCTGACAGTGATCAACGAAGAAACAGTAACTGAGCACGTTGTTGTTCAATCATATGTGATAATCATGTTTTCTATGCCTGTATCATCATTAACATTCTGTCCGCCAGGAACAACCATTGTAATCTTATCGATATTAGACCAACCAGGCTCGAATAGATATTTAGATGTTTTAGTTAGTGAAAGTGTTAACCACCATTTATTTTGGACGTTCGATTCATCTTGTTTGAACGTTCTTTGTCTCATTCCATTAATGATATGCCAACCCTTCATCACAAAGTTTACTCAAACGTCTTTCTCTTCTTTATGCAGTTCATAGTTGCTGTCCAATACTTTCTTGTTACTATTCAATAAGAGATGAGAAATAATACTTGCCATCTTTTAACTTTTATATCAGATAAAAGTCTTAACTGTCAGAGTGACATACATCTTATCGCAGTACAATGGCCACAGTAGGCAAATACAGACTGTTGTGTACATAGGGGCTTTATTCTAATAGCACCTTTGCCTTCGTTCAGCCTCGTTTCTGCCTAAGGCAAACGTACTAAATGAACGTTCGTTTTGATTATATAGTCGTGTGTTGTTATAATAACCTTCAATCAATGTTACTTCGTTTCTTCTTGAAGCAATCATCAACACAGAAATAAATGTAAATGTTGTACAACCCGACTTTGGTTGAATGGTTAACATTTGATTACCTTGAAAATAGCCCACGTAATCACCCGATGTGCAAAGTATCGGATATCCAAGGCTGGGACATAGAAGACAACCGCGGTAAATATAGTGCGCATTCGTCCATATCAAATTGCTATAAGCGGACGACGGGAGTGGTGCATTAAGCGTTATTGATGGTAAATCGTCAAATGTAACATTTATTAGACCCAAATAACCACACTCTACAAGAACAAACAAAGCTACAACTTTTTGTGGGTCAAACACGACGCTGTCAGACTATAGTACGTATCCTTTGACCCTTTCACTGGCACCCGATTTTGATTGTCGAAATTGTTGAAGGCTTTGCTGAGGGTCTCTACATTCGACAATTGTGTGAAACTCGTTCGGAATTTGGACTGTCGAAATTCCGATAGCGAAATTCCAGGTGGGAATATTCTAGGATATTATTCGTTTTAAAATATTTTACATGAGGGTGAAGGGTATACATTCATGAATTTTCTCATCGCTGCCTTTTGAGAGATTTCTAGACTAAAATTATCCTGCTAAACCCGTCTTACATTTTAAGAACTTAATAAGATAATCCAGGGTCACGAGTGTGAAATGTCACTAAAAATGTTTCCTTAAGCAGAACTTTTCAGAGAACTTTTTGAAACAGGCTCTTGTAGGGGATTTTTGAAATACCGCGCCGCGTCTCAAAAACTTCCAGTAGGATTATATTCATTTCTTTCCATAAGTTGATAGCTCAGAGTGTTCTCTTCACAATGAAAGGCAACCGAGACCTTGATTTTCCGCGGTTCGGGTATCGTATCGTATTTTCTTGGAGCCCCAGAACCGGTATTCGGTGACTAGTAGTGGCCTCGGAAATGAGTGGATTCTGATGGCAATGCTTGGTTTTGGGAAAAGAGATCAATAACCTGGCGATAACCGGGTTGTACGATAATTAGGGTTTCTCGGCTGTTTTTATCTAATATTAAAAAATTCACATTTTACTCATAAAAACATCAGAACGATTTGAAAACTTGATGATCTGGTTAATTTCGTCCACTAGACGCGATTATAATATAAAAAAGAAATTGAAAAACCATGTTTTGTCTATAGGTTAATAATATTTTAGCTAATTTAAGCATTAATTTCGGAACAAAGTTCCTTTTTTTTAATCGATAGCCCATGGACTTTTCTACAACATTGTTAGCAAAATTTTTCATGTAAAGAATGGGGATTAGATGAATTTTCGACCACTTTAAGTTGTCTCGAGATGACTGCTTTTTTTCTGGGGATTGCGTAACGGTCGATAGTTTCCTTATAAACTACACACACAAACTTAACCATAATTTTAGAGATTGTCGAACACATAATTAGACAGATTTGGTAAGAATTTAAGCATCTTTTCTTTTAAACTGACTGAGAAATTACTGTCAGAAGCGGAAAAAACGTGATTCCGGGACGATTATTTTGGCCGTAATATATTAGATTCCTCTAACACCTAACAAGACTGGAATAAGGGGGCTGGTTCAGACCACATTCGAAAAATAACAAATAAGCAAAGAAAATTCCAGTTTGATTCACATGATTACATAACATCATATTCTGTACACACTACTTGTTGTTGCTGAAACAAGATCCAAATCAAACAGTATTATTGTATAGAGAAATAGATTATTTTCCTTTGAAAACATGCACATTTAGGTTTTATATATAACTGTTATGAAACATTGAGTCTTACTTGAAGTTACTGTTGATGTCGTTAAAGTTGATGTTGCACTGGTAGATAAACCTAGCATAAAAATCGTTCATTTTGCATGTAGAAGGACTTTGAGTTCACGATATATCGATATGTAGAAGAGATCTGTAATTCCCCTTTTTCTACAGACGTCATTCAGTCCCCTTTTCCAAATAGGGCATAATGAGCGCTCGTTTAAACGATTCGGAAAATCCATACTCAAAAACTGTCTTTTATTTTCATGCTTCTTCTCATAATCTTTGAGCTCTTACACGTCGTCGGTGCAGTTATAAGAATTATTTAGTAAACTAACTTTTCTCCATAACTTGTGTGACGAAGTCTCGCAAATCCCGAACACCTCTGTTTGAGGGTTCGAAACTGTGTTCCAAGATCTCGCAACAAATTGAACAGCAAACGAGTGATACGTCTTGGAGCTCTATATGTTCCTATGTTTAAAAAATAAACGGTAAATACTAGATGCTATTTTGCCAAAATGAAGCTTGAGAACGGCTCCTGTTTGTTTTTAAACAAAGAAACGAACAGAACCTCACCCGGTAAGCCATCTATATCTTTTGAGGTAATCAACCTCAAACGCGAGTCTCGCGCTTTTTTTCTAAATGAATTTCTCGCGGTAACGTTATCGTAAACAGAGTTTCGCACGATATTTCGAAGCTAAACTCGCGTTTTATCGCGCTTTTCTGGAAAAAATTCGTTCTTTTACGGTTCTTGAGCCCATCTCGCGTTTTTCGCGTTATATTTCCGTGGATGAGGTACTACTGCAATATGTGTATTCTGTTGGTACCTCGTCCAAGCGAAGACACACTTCGATAACTAAGATCATTGATCCCAAGAAATATGTCGCAGACTCACTTGATGGCTCACTAGTGAGCATAGATTTTGTTAACCGATGTCTCGAATTCGATTCTCAGTTGAGACACGTTTTTACCGGAACGAAGCATGCCGAAGGGATCCACAATGAACAGTGTATTATATATAGAACAATCTATTCTACTAGACTGCTCAAAATACTCAACTGCACCACTGTCTAATCTCCACTTTAGCTAATAATACACTAAGATCAGCATCACCACCCGAATACATAGTTTTCAGCCTACACGTTTCCACCAATACAGCTTTGGCATAGAAATATGTATTTTGCGGTGCATAATTACCTGTTACTGTAGATGCTGGAGTCGTCCCGCTTAATACAGTGGTATCACTACTGGCGCTTTGCTGGAGTGCTTCAACAAAATACAAGAGATTAAGGTTGGACCTTCAAAACTTCTATCCAACGTACACGTCACTGCTATCGCAGTCGCAGATGTTGCAGCCGCAGATGTCGTGAGCACAGATGTCGTTGGTACCGATGTCGCAGGTACCGATGTCGCAGGCACAGATGTTGCAGGCGCAGATGTCGTGAGCACAGATGTCGTGGGCACATGTGTCGTAGGTACGGATGTCGTGAGCACAGATGTCGTGGGCACATGTGTCGTAGGTACGGGTGTCGTAGGCACAGATGTTACAGCCGCAGATGTCGTGAGCACAGATGTCGTAGGTACCGATGTCGAAGGCACAGATGTCGAAGGCACAGACGTTGCAGCCGCAGATGTCGTGGGCACAGATGACGTGGGTAAAGTTGTTGCAGGTACAGATGTTGCAGCCGCAGCTGTCGTGGGCACATATGTCGCAGGTGTAGATGTTGCAGCCGCAGATGTCGTGCGCACAGATGTCGTAGGTACAGATATTGCAACGGCAGATGTCGCAGATATAGATGTCACAGGCATAGATGTGATCGGCACAAATGTGGTAGGCAGATCTGCAGATGTTGATGGCCCTAAAATGGATTCAGTTAATAGAGCTCAATATATACAAGATATTTCAGTACTTTCGAAGCTACAAGCACAACCGTAACTCTGGCAGATTTTAACCGAACAGAAATATAGCATGCTAATAAACTTTTAGAAGTTTACAATTCTGGGCTGGCACATGTGCACAGATACAGATATGATGTAGAAATACGTATTTTCTAGTGCATAAATACGTGCTACTATACATGCTAAAATCGTTTCATTTAATCTAGTGGCATTACTACTGGCGCTTTGTTGGTGTGCTGTAACAAACCAAAAGAAATAACAGTCGTTCGCTATCTTAACCGTAATATTATTAGGTCCTGACAGCCACACAAATAAGCAGAACAGAAGCTCCGTACATCAAGCGCCATAGAGTGATTGCGAATCACGGTAGCCGTGTCCAAGAACTGAAATGTACGATTCCTAACCTGTAGCTCTTTCGATACTTTATCGGTACCGCAAATTCACGAGATTTTCGGAGAGGTTGACGTTTGTAGAAATATTGGACGGAATTTCTTCGTTAGAAAAACGCACACACGCAAAACAACTTACGTGGTTCTGATGATAGAGTCGCTGACGAAGTTGTCGGCGAGGTGGATGTTTCTGAAATGTTAAAAGCAACCTTTTCAATGTGTTGATGTGTACGTTTCCAGTGACAATTCACTGGAAAAGTGATTAAAGTTTCGTAAGAAACTGTGAATCGTATCTTCAGACGTTTTGGTTTTATGCATGGGTTCTTCATAACTAAATAGCTTAAAAATGACTTATTCCACCTGTGGTAGGTTTTCACTGTATTAATTTATCATGAAAAGGAACGTTATACCCATGCACGAAAACTAAAGAGAAAACAGTATGACATTATTTAGCTAAACATACTGGATGGTGAGTTACTGTTTACTGTGAGATTTATTCGGAAGGCAGGTAGATGCGAGTGTGACATTATTTATTGGTATATGAATAAATGCGAGTAATAGCGATCTTAATTAAGCGAACTGAGACTAACATAGATAGTTGCCCGAGTTTTTGCTTAAAATCACAAATTTATTTGAGAATTTGGCTCAATGGTGAAAGAATATTGTTGTGTGAAAGATTTAATAGTCTAAACGACAACACTAGACAATTAGCTCTCAGCATTAATTTAATTCTTATCAAGGCAAAGGAGACGGACAGCCGGTTGAGCTTTAGTG